AGTTCGCATGTTTGGTTGTCTCTTGTGATCTTTATTTCGTGTCCAAGATATATATATATATATATATATATATATATATATATATATATATATATATATATCAAGCGAGCCTTCTAAAGCTGGCGCCGCTTCCCGCATCCTAATTTCCAGCGTTTTCTGTCGAAGCAATCTTCAGTTGTTAGATCTCTGGCGGTCATTGCATCGTCGACATCGTCTCTTCAGGATCGTCTTAGTCTACCTCGTTTTCTTCTAGTTGGCGGAGTCCATTCTTCTATTTTTTTTGGCCATCTATTTTCCGGAATTCTCTGAAGGTGTCCATACCAGTTAAGTCTTTTGGCTTTCACATTTTGCTCTTTTTCAACTTGTCTGGAGTGCAATGTCTTTAATCTTTCCTATCGGTCTCTCTTGGCAAACTCTTGTTTTTCCGACCCGAGTGGCTATTAGGGTAATCCGAGGGCGGACGGGTCACTATAATTCTGTCTACTACACTCTACTACTCTTCCCTCGACTAAGGGAGTAAACCCTAACAGAAAATCCTGGTCCTCCTGGTAGGGGTTGGGACGTAGGGCCTGCTCCTCTACACCCGTGAAAAACTTACTGCAAAAAATTCTAAAATCCAGCCTCGGAATATGGACCAATTTCTTTGAAACGTAAAACATTTGACCAATGTGTGTTGCCTGTGATGACCTATGGTGCCAAAACTTTGACAGCTACAAGTTCTAGGACGCTGCAAGTAGCTCAGAGGAAAATGGAAAGATCAATGCTGAGTATATCGCTTCGTGACCGAGTTATAAATGAAGATTTAAGACGAAGAATAGGAGTTACCGATGTAATTTCCCGAATTGCCACACTGAAATGGAACTGGGCTGGACACGTCGCCCGAATCAGTGATGAAAGGTGGACGAAGAGATTGTTTGAGTGGAGGCCGAGGTGAGAGAAAAGAAGTAGAGGAAGACCCCCTACACGATGGACTGACGATCTCAAAAATATGTCAAGAAATTGAATAAAAAATGCTCAAAACAGAGCACAATGGACAAAAATGAGGGAGGACTATGTCCAGCAGTGGACGCAAAGGGCTGGGTGATGATGATAATGAGAGTCCCCAACAGATGTTTAAGTGCGACCAGCTCCTTTAGGTGAATTTTTGTATTTTGATAAGTAGCATTGAACTATTTCCCTTCTAAACTGAAGTTGGCAATTTTTTTCCCCGTACTTCTTGCTAAAATTCACGCGTTTTGAATGCTAACATCCAACAACCACGTGAAGATGTAAAATCACCATTTTTTTTACTCTAATTCCAATCCGATACACATTGACATTAGCATCCATTTGATCAGTGCCTCCCATGTAGGTGTTATATTGGGTTATAGCGTCAGGTCGTGGAATTGCTATCTTTTTTTTTGAGAAACACAATATCTGTTAGCTGAGGTTAGAGGAAATAGAGTTAGAGGTTAGCTGAGAGAGATGAGTGAACGACTCGAGAATCGTCGTAAACGTTGACGTCAATATTTAATTGGTGGAAATGAGATGGAAAAGTAGGTGGAGTCCATTCCAAAATTTGTGTCTCTGCATGTCACACGTCTTAAACCGCAAACAATCCCTGATGATTTACATAAAATGTTAGCTGTATCATTTCCTGAAGACCAATGTATGGTACACAAATCAAAAATGCCAGAAGTATATAGTTCCAAGAAGGTCTCCATTAATCAAGAAAACCTAAAGAGAGCTCAGAACAAAAATGTTTGGCCAAAGGGTGCAGTGGTATCTAAGTTTTTTTGTGAAGAGGAGGATGCCAATGTAACTAAATCCTCTTTAAAAAGTATTGTTAAATTTAAAAATGATTTAAAAGTCATTCACTATAATGCTCAATCTTTACGTAACTCTTTTCTAGATTTTGAAGTTCTGCTTAATGATATTTCAGCTGATTGTTTGTGTCTTAATGAGCACCGGCTTTTACCTGATGAGCTACATACTGTCAATATTAAAGGCTAACGTATGGTTTCTGGAATTTTGCAGGACGGTCAAGTCTCATGGAGGTGTATATATATTAGGAATAACGTAAGTTTTATTTGAATCTTGAAAATACCTCTTCTGAACAGCATTGTGAGAATACAGGTATTTTCTTAAAAAAATCTAATGTGCAGCTTATTACTGTCTATCGTACTCCAGATAGTGATTTAGACAAATTCTTTACCATTATGGCTAAACCTCTTAAAAAAATTAATGTTCATAAACTTATTATAAATACGTGTTCATTTTAATGAAACAGACATCAGAGCTTTAAAACTCTGTATTTTTTTTAGATCTTATAATATTACAAAAAAAGTTTAATTTAATATTCGAGGTAATAGATGTCTTGATAATGTTTTCGCAAATATTGAAATATTGATGGTACCACAATTCCTGTGGATATCACTCACACATCTGACCACAGAGGTATTTCCTTTCATATAGCTCACTCATCCACAAATTGTGCAATCAGAGTTTGTTATAGACCTATCACAGATAAAGGACTCTTTAATCTGAACCAGATTTTGCTAAATTGCAACTTTAATTTTGTATACAATGATAATTTGGATATTAATTTAAAATTTAAAATGCTAATTGATGTGTTATTAAATTCCATAAATATCTCGTTTCCAGAAAAATCGAAATTGCTAAATAAAAATAATCCAGGTAAAAAAGCAAACTGGTTCAATGACACCTTGAGAAAAATGCGTGAGAGACTTTAATTTATTATAACAATAAATAGAAACGATCCCATTTCTGTACCTAGAAGTACCATTATCAAACTTAGAAAAGAGTACAGGGAAGCCATCAAGCTTGCAAAAATTAATGCAAATGATAGGTTTATAAAAAATTCTGGCAACTCTCAATAAGCTATGTGGAAACTTATTAATGGTAACAAACATAAAAATATTTTCACTGATAATTCTAATCTCAAGGCAGATAGTTTTAATAACCACTTCTGCTCAACTGCTGAGAGAGTAATAAATGAACTTGAGGTTCCTCAGCTAACTCTTGATGACTATTTAAACTGTATACCACAAGAAAATATCCCGTGTTTTAGTTTTCAACCAGTAAACTTTAGTGAAGATGACTTAGTTATTACAGAAATAAAAAAAGTAACAGCAAAGATCCTGATGGATTTAACACAAAAATTATTAAAACAATTAAAAATATAATTGTTCAACCTCTAACAACTTTAATAAATCAATCAATATCTTGTAATACTTATCCTCAAGTTTTCAAAACTGCAAAGGTAGTACATCTGTTTAAGAATAAAGGCTGGCTCTATTGATGATTATAACAATTATCGACCCATTTGTTTGTTGTCCATCCTATCAAAAGTTTATGTACGAATTTTACAAAATCAAATTAATCTAAATTTTGCATCTTATAAACTGTTTGCCATAAACCAGTACGGATTCCGAAAAAATAAAACAACTTTAGCTATTGATCATTTCACTAGTAGTATTTTTAAAATGTTTGAAAAATATCTTGATACTTTTGCATCGTTTTTAGATCTTACTAAGGCTTTCGATTGTGTCACACATGGTATTCTGCTTAGAAACTTATTATAATTTTCATAGTGATGCTATTCAACTAATTGATTCATACCTATCAAATCGCGATCAATATGTTCACTTCAACCAGTCTGGTTCTCAAAAACAATCTCTGTTGTTTGGTGTTCCTGAAGGCTCGGTTTTGGGTCCAGTATTATTTATCTATATTATTGATCTAGTGTACTCTTAAAATGAAACAGTTAACACTGTTTTATTTGCTGATGACACTACTTTCTATGCAAGCTATCACCCTTCTAAATTCGACACCCTTGATTACCAAACATCTGAAAAAAACTTATTAAATTGATTTTTAACTAACCGTCTCTCTTTGAACAACTCTAACTCACAAAGTGTTAATTTTACCTTAAGAAATAACACTTGTGTTGAAAACGTTGATCTATCACAATGTGTAACCGGAGCAAAGTTTTTGGGGATATATTTGGATGTAGGATTAACCTGGGAACAACATATAGTTAATCTATCGAAAAAGCTTTCCCGACAATTTTTCCTCTTCAGGAACCTTGTACGAGTGACTTCCAGGGAAACTATTTTAACAGCTTATCATAGTAATTTTGATTCTCATCTGACATATGCTATTCTCTCCTGGGGTAACTCTTGTCATATCGATAAAGTGTTTGCATAACAAAAAAAGTGTATTCGTATTACCTCTGGGCTTTGTTATAGAGCAGACTGTAGAAACTCCTTTAGAGCTTTAAAAATTCTTTACCTTGTGCAGTGTCTGTTGCACGTTAAACAAAATCTTAGCCAACACAATGCGCATGTAGATTTTCACAATTATCCCACCAGATTTAATAATAATCTTATACCAGAATTTGACCGACTTGAGAGATCCAGGAATGGTTCAAGGTATTTAGTCATAAAATTCTACAACTTAGTGCCAGCTAGAATAAAAGCTGTTAATTTTCATCAGTTTAAGGCAAAAATTAAGAGTTACCTTATAGTGAATGCCTTTTTTACATATATGAGGAGAATTTTACTTTCGATTTTAATTTGTTGTAATTGTTAACAGTATAAGTTAAAACACTGTATCTATGTGTTGTTTTATATTTATATTAATGTGTATATTAACTATATTGACATATTTTTTATTTCTTTAACTTGTAAAAAATACTTTTGTATTCATTTATTACCAATAAACCATCTATCTATCTATCTATCTATACAGTAACAAAATGAAAAAATGCATAAAAGTGTTATTTATTTAAATATGGTGAATGTTGTAAATATCCGTATGAATGATTTTCAAATTTATAAGAAACCGAACTTGAAGAAAGATTTTTTCTGACTGCTATAGGACATCCTTTATATACATATAATGTAAGTATGACGTAATAAATTATTTATTTTTATTATATAAATGTAAATGAATCCTAACGTTTCATTACAGTAATCAACAAATTCATTACCTAAACCATGGGAATCATAAGTAAGTAAATTTTAGTAAAAATATATTTGATAGAATATTACTGTTTGTATAGAATAATGAAGTTAAAAATGTTATTAAAAAGAGAAGAAAGAAAGCAGAGGACATGAACACTAAAAGGGTCTGCGTCTGACGCATACCTGCTACAGCCGTCATTTTGACGGTCAGACTTAGAAAGCAGTTGTTGCTTTGTTTGGTACATTTGCCACATGTTCTATTTTTTTTGCAATTAATGTTTATTTGACACTGCTTCCTCTTATTATTTACAGCACTGACATCTGCTGTTCAATGTTCAGATGCTTGAAAAATTTGAACACTACTGAAGTCCGCTTTCTACTTTACGTCGAAGTTCGTCAATAGTTTGTAGAATAAAATCTTGGCGAGATATTTTTTTTTTGTTATTTCTTCAAATACAATCTACGAATTAATTGCTGCTAAGTCTAATATGAGAATGGAAATTCTGAAGGCTGCTAAAAACCTAAGAGGAACTAAAATATATCAATGAGGACTTCCCGAAGAAAATACTACAAGAAAGAAAGCATCTTCTCCAGTACATGAAAATGGTACGCCAGGAAGGACACACAGCCGCATTAAAATACAACAAATTATGGATAAAAGGTGAACCGTTCTTACTGGTGCAACTAGAAGGCATAGATGTAAATTACTGGAAGAAACCTGAAGAGAAGAAGGGTAACGCTAGGACAATAAACTACAGATCTCCCATATCTGATAATATAGATCCAAGAGGAAAATTGATGAAAATGGCGTCAAAAAACTAATAAAAAATATAACAAAAGACGGCGACAGTATAACGGAGTTGGCAATGAATACCGACATGAAACTGTTTTGTAAGAAAAGACGCAAAAATAAAACAAAACAAAAGAAAGCAAAAAACAAAAATAGAAAAATAAGAATAGAAACGTGGAATATCAAAACACTTTTAAGACCAGGCAAAATGGAAGAGTTGGCAAAAGAAATGATAAAATACAAGATGAGAATACTAGCGCTACAAGAAATACGGTGGGCTGGAGAAGGGATGATTGCTAGAAGAAATTACACAATGTACTACGCAGGAAAAAGCAAACAGGGGCGCAATGGAACTGCCTTTCTAGTTAGTTATAGCGTAAGAGACAAGATTATTAACTTTAAAGCGGTTGGTGGAAGAATATCATATATAAGAATGAAAAATAAACAAGCAAATTTAACATTTGTTAACATATATGCCCCTACTGAGAATGCTCCTGAAGAAGAAAAGAATGAATTCTATGAGAAACTTGAAGAATTGTACGAAGAAATATCAAAGACACGAACAGAGAAATCGCAGGAAAAGAAACGATCCATCAAAATAAGAATAACAATGGCAGGAGAATATGTAATCTAGCAGTAGCAACCAATACTTTTATTATTAGCACTCAATTCAAGCACAAAAAAGAGCACAAAGTAACGTGGCTAATACCTGGAACAATAGATATAAACCAAATAGACCACATCCTAATCTCAAAAAAATGGAGACCAATTTTACAGAATGTAAGGTCTTACAGGGGAGCCAATGCTGATTCGGATCACATTTTGGTGATAGGCGCCATGAAATTTAAGATACTTAAAGATAAAAACGACAGAAAGAAAAGAAAGAGGTGAAATCGGTCGAAACTAAATACAGATAATGCGAACAGAAAATTCTGCACTAAATTGGAAGAAAAACTACTAGTCATAAAACCTCGAACATAGATAAAACATGGGAAGACATAAAAGATAGTATCTTAACAACAGCAGAGGAGACGATAGGACTAATGGAAGACCATTATGGAAGACAATAAAAAAGGATTGGTACGATGAAGAATGCGAGCAAGCTAGTAAAGACAAGGACAAAGCAAGACACAGGTGGGTGGCCACAGGGAAACAAGAAGATCTCCTACACTATAAAGAGAAGAAGAAAGAGTCAGAAAAATGCTGCAAAACAAATAAGAAGAAATGGATCGAAGAATTACTGCAGGAACTCAAAGCCAATAGTAATGACAATGCAAGACTATACAAATACATAAAATCACAGAAAAAAAGAGATACCAGCAAATATTGGAAACATAGAATGAGAAACACACAGTTCATAGAGAACTGTTTAAAAAGAAAGACGATGCTGAAAACGCAGAAAATGAAAAACAAACAGAAAATAGAAATGGAGAACAATCAGAGCCTCCCTCATACAGCGAAGTATTGGCGACCATAAACAGATTAAAGACAAGAAAAGCAGCAGGACCAGACGACATTATAAATGAGTTTTTCAAGAAAGGGGGAGAGGAACTAGCCCACAGAATCTGTAGAAAGTAAGGACTGGAAAGAATGGAGGAAAATTGTAGACAGGGCCAAGTTATACACCCTGCTATAATAGTAAAAAACAACAGCGGACTGATTCTCCGCAATAAATGAATCAGAGAGCCCAAAAGGGCGGCAAACACTCCGCCAGGAGTGAATAAACCATGATGATGATAATAAAGTCTGATATATTGTAGAACTCATGCACAATCCACCTTCGGCTACCAGCTCTCACTGTATATTTGCGTGTCATTTGATCGACTATTCTTCTTCTTAATGTGCTTATTCGTTACGAATGTTGTCGATCATCATGACAATCTTTATCTTATCTGAAGCGCGGAAAAGCTGCACAGATGTTGTATTGAACAAGATTCTGAGGTTCTTTAACCAAAATATTCTTCTTTTTCCTGGACCTCGTTTTCCAAATATTTTTCCTTGCAGGATGGCTTGAAGGAGACCATATCTGGATTCACTTCGCATAATATGTCAGAAGAATTGTATCTTTCGAGTCTTGATGGTGGTCAGTACCTCTCGGTTCTTATTGATCCTTCTGAGGACCTCCTCATTTGTGACTTGGCCAGTCCACGGAATTCTCCGATATAGCCACATGTCAAATGCTTCCAGTTTTCTGCACACATCTTCATTTAAGGTCCACGATTTAACGCCATAAAAGAGGACAGAAAAGACATAGCATCGCAGCATTCTTACTTTTATATCAACAGAGAGGTTGTGACTCTTAAAGAAGAGTCCCCATCCGATTGAAGGTAGATCTAGCTTCTCCGATGGGTGCTCTAACATCCTGATTGTTGGTCCATTCTTCGTTTATTAGATTATATCAACACCAAATTTTGTTGAGTTATAAAAAGCAATCATTTCAGGGAGCTTTTTAGCATACTTATTTGTTAATTTCAACTTGTAGATGCATTGCACTCAAGATCATTACATTTTTTTGTCGGCTTTTCTTGGTAGACAGTATGGTCTAAAAACGGACAGTATAAAATAAACGACATAACGTGGGGTTCACATAATTTTGCATAAAAAAGGAATCTCTTTTCTTGAATGGCGTATCGTACTAACGATACTAGTATTTTGATCTTTCAACTTGTTGCGAATGACAAAGATGTAAAAAAGTTGTCGGTAGTAATATTTCTCCTTTTTTACAAATAGCTAAAGCAGTTTAAGAATAACAAGTCGTGGAAGTGATTACGTTATGTATGGCTTATCCTTTTCTAATGACGAAAATCCATTAGAAATATATTTGCTGTCAACGTTCACCAAGAGCTAAAATTTTATGCCAAATTTATCAGTTTCATTTGGAATGTACTGGTAGCACAATGTGCACAATCTGAGTTTTAGAAGGAAATAGCTGCTCGTCGTCGGTCAAATTTACACATGAAATATAACACATTTGGTAGTTTTCAATAAATTTGTTTCAAACTTTTAATACTAACGTAAACTTATCTGTCTTAATTCGAAAGGATTTAGTGCTCTTTAAGGAAAATTGTAGGTACTTCATTATCTCCTTGAACCTATTCCTGTTCATAGTTTGTTTGAAAATAGTTGATCCCTTTTACATTGGACCACAAGAGATCAATATATAAGTGACTTATATTATAGGCAACACGAGCATAAAGTAAAGCAATAAATGCTTCTAGTTCTGGAGGAGAAATGCTCCATGTTTCATCACTTAATTATTGGCGAGCTTAAGTCTCTCTTGCAGATCCTTATGTGACGTAGCATTAAATCGTTGATAAACAATCGCCAAGACGTTATCAAATTATTCTCTTTTGAACATATCGTTTTGTAACAGTTGTTGGGCCCGGAAATTGTCTTAGAATATTTTGTTGATTGCAACGTCCTACTCCGCTGGAGACAACACAAGTCCACTCGGTTCCTTTACTGGAAATAAGAAGATCACCGAAAACAGAAACTGAAATATATCTAATAGATTGTTACACAAGATTAGTATCTCGAAGGTAGTTATCATGGAAAACCGTGTCATTATCATTATCACTCTCGTCACCTGACGTTTTCTTGCATTTCTGCCTCAGTCAAATATTTACGCGAACTCATACTGAAATACAAAATGAATTCAAACAATACAAAACTATTAAAGTCCATGCACTATAAAGCCGAATTTGGAATGGAACAAATGTGAAAAATAAAGCTACCCTACTGGAATGATAAACAACTATTCGACTTACCAGGAATTTATTTGCAGAACGTGAGAAAACATAATACCGTCAAAATGACGGTGCCTGCTTGTTTAGATATAAGTCATTATACCATTAAACGTATTGACGGCGATGACCCCTCTAGTATTAATATATTTCTCGCTAATGCTTTGATTTCAAGAGAGGATTTTCCCATTTCTTTCCTTTCCCATTTCATTTCTTCCAGTACTCCTCTTTCAAATTTTTTAGGTCTGCCTAATTTCCGTCGGCATTGAGGATTCCAATTCAGCACAGTTCTGGCAATGTCATCTAAGGTCTACGTAGTATGCAGCACAGCCACCTACACTTTCTTCGTCTTATTTGCGAATGACATTTTCTTGGTTGGTTTGGTTCCAACCACAATAAACTTTCACTCAATATTCGATTAAGCCAACATATACGAAGAATTTTTCGTAACGCTCTGTTGATAAAAATTTGTAATTGGTGTACTATGGGTGCTGATGTCTTCCACATTTTACAGCCATATCGTAATACAGCTTTAGATCTTTATTGAAGATTCTTAATTTCATTATAATTGGGTAAATCACGAATTTCCATACAGTCCCTTATGCTGTCTTATGCAGTCCTATGCCTTATACTGTCATATGTCCTATGCAGTCCATTCTATATCCAGTCTATGCTCCTATTTTTTCTGGTGCCAAATCATATTTTTTTGGTTTTACCGATGTTCATTTCTAGATTAACCTTATTTGATTTTTCTTGTAATATCTTTAGTTTTTTATGCGTATTACCGGTCATGACCTATGGGGCGGAAACTATGACTTTAACCAAGACCACAGCTTCGAAACTGAGAGTGGCACAGAGACGAATGGAACGGTCTATGCTGGGAGTGACGTTGGGGGACCGAATAAGAAACGAAGATCTGCGAAGAAGGACGAGTATTACTGATGTTGTGGAATGCATAGCGAAACTAAAATGGAACTGGGCAGGCCATGTAGCGAGAATGCACGATTCACGATGGACGAGCAAAATTACAAATTGGAGGCCAAGAGCAGACAAACGCAGTAGAGGAAGACCACCTACACGTTGGGCCGACGACATCAGGCGTATCACTAAAAATTGGCAACAAAGAGCACAAAATCGTGAGGAATGGAGGAGTTTAAGGAAGGCCTATGTCCAGCAGTGGACGTGATAAATAGAGGCTGGATGATGATGATGATCTTTAGTTTTAGTGGCATATCCCGTTTTGTATTTGTTAAGAGGCATATATCGTCGGCGTAATCTAGATCTTCTAGTATGTTTGTTAATTCCCAGTAAATTCCTTTATTAGAGTTTACGTTTATTAATACGGAGTATAGTACAATCGTAAATATGTAGTAGCGGCGAAAAAACACAGCCCTGTTTTACTCCGTTTATCACGGCTATTGCAGATGTTAATCGGGGAATCAGGAGTTAGTTTTCTATTTCGTTATTAAAAACCTATTTTACCGATCTTTAAATATGTTTCAGACCTTTCCTGGTTATTCCCAGATACTAGCGATCTTGGTAAAGTCATGCTGCGCATTTGTGAACTATTTTTCAATTTAAATCTGATGTGGCCCTGTAGGGAAAACCGAATAATCGTAATAGCCGCTTGCATAATCACAACGTCATTACAATTTTTTATGTTTTGTGGTATATTTGCCTACATAGTAAACAATTTAAATGAATTTAACGAAGTGACGTATGCCCTATTTATGATTGTACTTCCAACAGGGGTAAGTAATAGAATTAAAAGTTGTTAAAGAGGTTCATAATGTATTATTGTTTTTAGCCTATTCTCAAAATGCCGGTAATTGCCTATAAATCGAAGGAATTTAAAAAACTCATCAGCCAAATATCTACGAAGTATTGGCCGAGTGACTTATTGGACGTGGGGAGCAAGAATGATTTTAAGGGAATTTATACGGCGGGATTTACGGTAATAGGAGCGATGTTGGGTTTAGGTATGTAATTTAAATTGTCAAAAATCAGGATAATTTTAGTATCAAGAGTACATAATATTTTTAAGTAAAATAAACAACAATCTAGTGGTAACGAATATGAATCTAATCTAATAAAAGTCTAGGATGACACGTCACGCGAACGGCAGATTATTCGGGACGATAATTGTATCACATAAGTAAAAAACCTGGCTAAGTGCCAAAAATTGAAAAAAAATTTTTAGTGCTTAAAAGTGGTATATGTATAATATGTGTACATGGTATAATAAACTACAGAGGTAACATATTGCGTACGGTCGCTCGATCTTCGGCCAGGGAGTGACGTCAGTTGCAGCGTAGCAGGTAGCAGCAGTGTTCCCAAACCTACCGATTTCGCCGCTTGTACCGCTACCGAATTTTATATTCAGATAGAAATTTTTACTTTTTCTTAAATTTGAGAAGAAATATGTAAGAGACAATACAATTTTTCTTGCGATACCTGTAATTTGCATTGAGCATTTTTGTCTACTCACAAAAACGTGTGAAAACATTCAAAAATTTATTCTTAAATGATACCTAAGCGGTCCTTTACAAAGTACATGATGTAATAAAAGCTAATAATACAATAATAAATGAATCAAAATCCATTGTGATCCCGACCGCCTGGTTCTGGGAATTTGTCAAGTTAGGAGACTTAAAACCGGAACAACGCAATTTTAATCTAAGCTTGGATACAATTGGCAGATCTTTTTAAACTAGTAAGAGTTACAATTTGTAAGGTAAACATTAATTACTAATTTGTTTTAACTTGTTATAGGTGAACGATTGGTTTGACGTATTTAATGTTAGCGTTCCTGTGAGCGACACTCGAACCAGAAACCGGGCATATGGTTTGGAGTTAGAAACCCAAAACGATATTTTAAATAGAATGTCTGACATGATTTCAACAATGCGCGTTAAAGGCAAGAAATCATTGCTTCCATTTCAAAAAGTTAACACAGTATATCAAAGTAAAAACACATTTATAACATTTTACAAAACATTGTAGGTATTCTTATATCAAATAAGGCTCTGCAGTTATTGCTTGAAGATGTAGGCAAACGCTGTAATATGAACTACGTTTTGACGAGACGCTTAAACCAAGATAACTTGGAGAATTTTTTTGGAGTCATAAGAGCAAAAGGTGGTTTGAACGATCATCCAACTTCTTTAGATTTTAAATACCGATTGCGTTCTTATTTAATGGGAAAAAAATGAAGGTGCTTTTTCAGATTACTGTAATGTAGAAAACAATGGTACTCCTACATTAACTATGAGCGGTAGTATGGTAGAAAAGCTTGCTTTAAAAAAAACAATCATTGACACCAATCCCACGGATGGAGATGACATAGTCCTCTGTGAAGAACTCGATGATTTAAGATATGATTGACTAGAACATTTAGGAGGATTTATTTGTAGCAAGCTTAAAGGCAAGTTACCAAATTTAACTAACCCAAGTTTGACGTCTTACACCTGGACCAATCATTTGACAGAAGGTGGACTATGTAAACCTTCTAATGAATTTATGGCTCATTTGGAAAAACTGGAGCAAATTTTTCAAAACTTTAATGGAGATACCATATTTACTGGCAAACAATATGTTTCAAGTCTGTTATCTGCAAGTGTTAATATTGATTGTCCTCAAGATGCTAAGAAAATATTTTTTCGATCACGTATGTACTTCCGTATAAAAGATTTTAATAAAAAAATATTTTAGCACGTACTAATAAAAGAAAAATAGAAAAAACTATTGCATAATGTATATAGTATTATATTTTTAAACGAAAATTGTTTTAAAACTGCTTTATATATAGTTATTTAGCAAGAATATTAACGCGATCGTAATATTTATTTTCAAAATTGGCATCTGACTTGTGTAAGTGACGGTTGTTTTAAGTATTTAAACTTAACTATATATTTACCAATTATGTATAATATAAAAATTTTGTTCCTTCTTAAAAGTTTATAAAAAATGGAAGTATGTAGGTACCTAAATAAGTAACTATATTTTTATACTAATACCTTATTTGTTCTAATTCGCATAAAAATTAAATATTTTGACTAAGAGAACATTATAAACATTCGTTTTTTTTTAAATGTGTGAAGACAGTAAAATAATATGCAAAATATCCATATTTAGGATGACTAAATTACGAGTGCTTATGTATACAATTAAGAGCAATGTGAATACTAAGCTGCGAGTGACGTCGCTGCGCAAGGTTAACGCGAATTTGCACTTCGGAATAGGTGGCCCTGATATGTGTATATGCCAAGCCCGATGCCGAATAAAGTGGGCTAACTTCACAACTACTCAGAAGTATACCAGATTTCTATGTATATAATTGTGACTGCATTTGTATAGCTTCCTACGATTTGCCCTTTGATTGATGTTCTTGTATTACTTGTATAACTTGAATCAAATGTCGTGTTGCCCATTTATAACAAAATTATAAAAATAGCTACTTGGATTTTATGCTTAATTTCCTTATTTGTATTGGATTTGAAGAATTAGCTGGAGTAAATTCTCATACCTCGAAATACATAGACGTGCACATCTTCTAACTAAAACGTAATCTTAAAAGAAAAGTTTGCGTTAAATTTATTTAGATATTTAGAACAAAATAATTAATCCAATCCAATACTGGTTTAAAATAAAAAGTTAATATAATACAGTTAATATAAAATAATAAAATACAATAAATTATACTGAAACGTAAAATACATACACAAAAACTGTAAGTTTTTATACATTCCTATTAATAAATAATAATATTCTTAATACTAATAATATTGGAAATAAGAATGAAAATTATATTAACAATAAAAAATAAATAAAAAATAAACAATAAAGTTGTGGGCAATTAGTTCAAATGTAAAATAAACTTCTGAGCTACAGTTTAAAGTTAAGCTTCATCATATTCTGTTTCAGACGAGGTGTTATCCGATCCGGTATGAATTATTATAGGTTCTACACTGCTATCTATTATATGATCAGGCTCCCACATATTTTTCTTAATATCCATAACGTGATTAATACATAATTTTTGCCAATATTCAGTCGTTACTTCGGATATTGATTTATGAAAAGGAATAGTAACATCTGACATTTTAAAAGTTGTATTATTTCGAGCAACGTTACTTTTAACTTCGGCCCATAGTAATTCAATCGGATTAAGCTCGCAATGATACGGTGGTAGGCGAAGTATTTCAATTCCTCGTTTTTTGGCTATTTCCTCAATGACATATTTTTTATAATTTTGTTTATTAATTTTAGCAAGCTCTAATAATTTTGCTGTTGTCATTGTATCGTCAAAGAATAAATTCTTAGAAGTTAACCATATTGCAATTTAATCTTTCCTGCATTGAGTAGTTGGTAAACGTTCAACTAATCTAGAGTGGTAACATCACAATAACTGAATTTTTAGGTATGAATTCAATCATCTGTTCGAAATATTCTTCAAACACGTCTTCGTTCATCTCTTCGTAATAATCACAGGTCTTTTTTGATTTAAACAAAAGTAAACCCTCCTTAAGAAATCCATTCATACTACCTATATGGGTAACAATTAATCGTCGACCTTTACCTGTTGGTTCCTTGAAACCAGGTGAATATCCTTCCAGAAATGCTTTCCAGTTTTGTCTTTTCAAACTCTCCCTACAGTATGCCCTTTATTAACCCACGTTTCATCTAAATAATAAATGTTCTTTATTAGTTATTTTCTGAGGTAGTCTCGTCTCCAACACACAATTTCTTCGGAATCGATAAGCATTGACTGTCTGCCCACTTTTTCATACTTAAAGTTTAACTCATGCAAAACTTTCCAAAGTTTGTTTGTCTCTACTTATTGTGGGTAAATCGGGATAGTCGGTAATGGCTTGTAAAACTTTATCTAAAGTTGGTATTTGTTTGTTAAAAAAAATGAGTGGACCATTCTACGAATTGCATTTTTGAAAAATTCAGCCACATTCACTTTCGACAATTTTGGTCTTCCTGGTCTCGGTTTGGGTGGCGTTATACCAGCTGATTTTTCCTCTTTTAAAATGTTATATACAGATGATTTTGAATATCCCATTACTTTAGACGAAATTTCAACTATACTATACTATTCAACAGTATTGGAAGGATAGTGTTGCTTAAAATAATTGTAAATATTGAGGATAACACTCTTTTCGTTAAGTAACGATATAAATGATTTAACTTTAATTTTTAAACTGGTGTATAATCACACTGTAATTCCATATTCTATAAACTCACTATTCATTCTTGCAAAAAACAACTTTGTCAGATCTCTTCACTCGCTTATAATTGACTAAACAAAAATTTTCTGATATTAATGAATGACTATTTAAAGACCAATAACCATTTTATTAATTATTGGTTTTCCAAACAAAATCGAAATTTATACTATTTAAGATAGCGTTCACATTTATCAGAAACCATCTTTCGCTAATCGACTTTTTCTATCTATCCTATCAAAAGACCATTAACTAAATACCTATGTATTTTAAGAGTTTCTTTATTTCTTGTTATTTAATGGGTCATTATCATAACGACAAAAATAATCATAAATAACGTTACTAAAATAAAGAGATTTATATAAATATAATATGCTTTGAAAATGGTTTAAATATCTAACAAACCAAAACAAATAATGTAATACTCTTAAAGTACGTCTATGACCAGCTGGAAAAACCCTAGCCTACACACTTCTAACAGGTATTTAAATTTTGCGATAGTCCATGTGACATGAAAAAATTTCTATCTAAATAGTCAAACCCAACGTAAAATAAGTTAAAATATTGACGTTGTACGAAAAGCATACGTACTAAAATATGCTTAACAATTTAGTTTTTTTTTCTGAGAATATATTACTCCAGCTTATTCTTCAAAATTATATTACCAACACTTTCAACAAAATATTTGATATTTCAGTACTGTTTTAAAAAATTATATGACCATTACCATTTTCAAAAAAAATATGATG